TCCATTATCTTTGAAAATAGGCATCAAACTGTTCTTTAATCATATCAGATGACTATATGAGATGGACGCAATAGCAGAAATAGGTTTAGTAATAGCAAAAACTCGGGTTTATTATATACTATATTATTATATAGGGGATTACTCATATTTTGCAGTAAAACTAGTAATTCACTCCTGCCATAATCGAATTATATATTCTGTCAGAATCACAAATTTTTTTATCCGCTCGATTTAATCAATTTGATAATTGTTAGTAGCAACTGTGATAATTAAAACTAAGATAAAATGAATCGATGTTTCAAAAGTTACGCAGCCAATGTTCCAAGAAATGCACAGTCAATGGTCGCAATTTCAAATGGACATGTAACAGATACAGGGTACTAAGATACCACAGTTACTAACTGATAGATCAAATTGCATAGATATACATGGTTTTGCCAGAAAAAGCGTATGGTGCATTTATTTGGTATAGTATCAGTATTAAATAATTGGAATGCTCAGTTACTATGCATTAAATTGTCGGTAGTACCGTGGATATCAATTTCTTTACCGTACGTAGAATTACATGGTGCATTGTTCTTAGTTTCAATTGGCAAGCAAGATGGTCTTCAAATTTTCAGTGACTAGGGAGCCATACTACTCAGATTCAACAATCGTTATTGCATACAGGTACAAGCTCTATAATATAATAGATGGAAAATATTCGTTGCAAAGATCCAGCACTTAAGATCGAATATTTTCAAAATGTAAATGTAATTGTAAAATTTCATTTGAAATGTTTACAGATATGAGATAAATACAAACAAGCGAAAATATACATTTAAAATTTTAGAAATTTAAAACTGCAATATCGGAAGTAACTATACCATTCTTTTACTTACAAGCGATGTTGAGATGATTTGTTATCCTAGTGTTCGAAAAAAATCTTCAGAAAATTTCCCTTCCGAGGGAAGTGCACGCTCACGTGTAATATAATCTTATCATTGAGATTACACGTTAAAATTTGGATCAATAGATACGAGAAGCTTTGAAATAATACGCTGCTATTATGAATCCGCGAAAAGTAATACACTGTTGAATTTCTGGAAGAGAAGCAAACATGATGCGCAATGCAGAGTGAAGTCTGTATTTCAGTTTTTTATATTTCAAATGTTGTAGTAACACTTTCAAATTTCCATCCAATTAGAGTCTCATGTATCAACGTGAAACACAGGCGGAAACGGAAAAACAGCAGCCAGCAGGCAGAGAACTCAAATGCTAGACAACCGTTCAAGAGAGCACATGGCGTAAATCCGAAAGAAGTCGAGAAATTATTCAACAACCCAGTATTCGTGCATAGTGTACGAGCACTTTCATCTACCCGTTTTAAAATAAATGCACAAGGAAGAAGAAGCATAATGTCAAATTTAAAAGCGACTAGGCTGAAAGCAAGAAACATGCAAAACAGCATGTTGACAGAGGCAAATACTCACCTAACAAAGAAAAATAGTCAATTGAAAGAAGAAATAGAAAAATTAAAGGATCATTGAAGAATTGCGAAAAGGAGCAATCTTTCAAGTACAAAACGGACACATATCAACGGAGAAATGCAATTCTCAAAAGAATATCGTCAAAAAATTATCCAAGCCAAGGGAGGAAGTAGCAAGTAGCAGTAAAAACAGATTTCAACTACTATCTACCTTGGAGGACACTGAAGAGTCAATTGACTTCGGAGAAAAGACAATCACGAAATTAAGGACAGAGGAACCAAGAAGTTCAAAAGGAGAAGAAGATTGGCCAATTTAACAAAAAGAGAAAAA